TGTTGTTACAATTAAATATGTTTTATTTTAATATAATTATTAAAAACAATATAACTCTTTCTATTAATTATTTGTACCAACCAGTTACTAAAAAACAAGTTAAAGATTCAAGATCAGAAGTTAACAACAACTTGAAGTTTTTTTGACAAGAACTGTTGTTGATGAGGTTTTTAAATATAATATTAAGATGTTGATATTTTAAATAATTTGTATAAAAGTCAAGTTTTTCTTTCTTTAAGTAAACTTCTTTATGTGTTTAATATTTAAACCAAAAGAGTTTTTAGAAACAGCAAGTAAAAAGTAAACTTAAGTTTGTTTAAGAATAAAAGATTATAAAAAATTTTTGAAACAATACTTTTTAGTTAAAAAACTTGCAAAATTATAATATTTTTGAATGTTCTATAGAATAGGTGGACAATATAAAAAATAAGCTTTGCTAATAATTAGTAATCATTAATTTTTTAATATCAGAGTTTGCGAAATTGGCGGAGTTTGCCCACCTATTCTATAGAATATCTATATTTTTTTATTATTCTCTTTTTTTACAAGTTTTAATAAAAAGTAGAGGATTTAGCTACCTCTTCAAAAGATCAGTATTGTTTACTATTTCTATTTTTAGAAAGTTTTAAATTATAATATAATAATTAGAAAACATAATAATTACATATAAAGAGAAAGTTTTAAGATTAATAGGATAAAAATTATAAATAGCAAATTTTATATTCAAATTAAACATCAGTTGTTATGTAATTGTTTTTTAAAATATATTAAAAAAGAAGCTTCTAATAATAGTAATTGAAAAGAAAAAATTCTATTAATCTAAAAATAAAGAAGTAGTTTAAAAGAAAAAACTATAAAAAAAATAGTATATTAAAAAAACAAAAATATTAAAATTAATAATCATATAATAAAATTTTAAAATTAAATATTTTAGAATTTAAAATAAATTTAATAAAGTTATAAACTAGAGTAATAATACAAAAATATATAATATTTTAAAGTTATATACAATCAAACCTCTCTAAATACACTTTCTCTAAATGTAGCACCTCTCTAAATACTTAATATAAGCCTGAGCTCATGATGGAACTTATAGATAAATACACATTCTTTATTCTATAAATGTATATTAATTGTCTAGCTATTTATAAAAACTTTTTTTATAAATATATTTACATAATTATCAACTATCAAATCTATTATTTTAGACTATTAAAGGCTGTAATAATAGTTATATAATAATTTTATTATTGTTTTTTAATTGCAACTCTCTCTAAATACATGCTCTAAAGTTGGTTTCAACAATATGCATTTAAAAAGATCTAACTATATATATAATTTTTAGCTCTTAATACAAAATAAAATATATTTTGGTTTCTTTTTTTTAGTTAAATAGCTATATTATATATACTACTAAAATGTTTTCAAAAAAAATTTATTTTGTTTTATTAGAGCAAATTAAAATTTTTTATATATAAGAACAAAGTTAATTTAAGTAATTGTATTTTTATAATTTTATCTTTTTAAAAAAAGACATAAAAAGGTTGTCTTTTAAGTAAAATAGGCCAAAAATATTTCATCTTCAAAATTTAATTTTAGGTTTTAGATTTTAATAAATTTCTACAACTATGCAGATAGTTTTTATCTAATTAGCAAATTTTATATTTGTAGATAAGTTTTTATAGATTTTAGAATAGCTTTTAAACTTTTTTATATTTTAATTATATTTATTATATATTTGTTTTTATTTATATTTTTTTTTATTCTATCTATACCTTTTTGTTTTTTTTTACTTTTTTACAAAAAAGTATTATCAGATTTATAATATTTTATTATAGTATAAAGCAATAATTCTGACAAGATTAATAAGAATTATTTGTTGATATTCAGAATCCAAATTTTTAATAAATTGGGGATTCTAAAAAAAGAAAAATATTTACTTAAATAGATTGTTTTTAGGCAAGGCTCTAGTATTTAATCTTTATTAAAATTTACTGTGATAATAAAATAAGCTAAGAAATTTTTTATTTATATAGATATAAAGCACTTTATAATATGGATAATATAGATTTGGTTAACTAAGATCTTGCTATAGTCTGTTATTAATTAATTAAAAGAAAATCACTAAAATAAAAAAATAAAAGATAAAATATACAAACTTTTCAATAATTTCTTTAATCAACAATATTTAAACTAAATTATAGCAAATAATATAAAAAAAACAACAAAATAGATATAATAATATTCTTAGTTTTGTATAAGCAAACTTGTTATTAACAAAACTTATATATATAAAATACTAAAAGTAAATATATAATAATATTAGACAAATTTGTACTTTAAATAAAGTTTCTCTGTAGCAAACTCCCTTGTATATTTGGTATTTAAATCAAAAAATTATTTTGTAAACAAGTTAAGCTTTTACGAATTGGTTTAAGTTATTAATTAAGAAAAATAGAAACTAAAAAGTTAAACTTTTTAACTGTAAAATCTACAAAAAAAAATTTATATATTTTTATTAGTCTTTTATTTTTTTTTGAAAAATTTTTTGTAAAAAGTAGATATTTTAGATTACTCTTTCTAAATGATTGTTTTTTTTTTGATTTTTAAGATGATCTTTTGGTCATATTCCTTTTATTTGATTATACTTTAACTTTTACAGTATAATATACTCATACTGTATATATATTTGAAAAGTATAACTAGCTATATATACAATTTTTAGTTGCCTATTAAAGTAGTCTGTTTATTATTAAGTTCTATACTAGATATCATATCTATAACCCAACTAGAAGGTTATCTATTTAAACTCTTTGCACCTATATATATTGCCCTATAACCAAAAAAAAGTACTATTATTTTCTTATTTTCAGATATTGACTTAGGACTACTTTATCCTTAAAGTAAACTTGTTAAAGCTTTTCATATTTACAATCTTGCTAACCTAGTCTTCAATTGATATACACAGGCTATAGTTCACCAGTTGTGCCTAATTTCATAACAGAAATATTCTCTAACTATTTTGTAATTGCCAGTTTTTTCATAATATTTTAACTATACTATGGTCTAATCATTGCTATACAATCTACTTTTTGCCCTTATAAAGTTCACTCAAATCCTAGTATTTCCTTCAAAACAATCTGGTACTTTTTTTTTTTAGTACTTCTAGCCAGTCTTCTCAGACTACCAATTCAAATAGTCTAGAAAAGACATCAGTCTCTTGGTATCTGTATTGCAGATCCTTTTCTTCTAATGTTTTGACAACCTGGTTGATGGAATATCTCTTTCTGAATACCTGGTCTTCATCCAGTTATGCCAACCTCAGGTGAAGCCTATTTCAGTAGTATTATCAAAAGTCTTTACTATTTCTTTATTCAGGACTTGCCAAGCGAGCACCCTATTATCATATCAGCTCTGTAACTTTTTACAATCCTGAAGAACTTATTGAGAGTTTGCATTGACTAAACTAGCTTGCATGCTTTTGTGTAACTTTTTTATTACACAAATGTCCCAGAATCTTCTAATTGTTATCTTGATACAACTATAGTTATAGGGTCTCAAGTTTTTCTAACCACAATGATAATTTATTTTCTAAATTTAATTTTTGCCCTCCATGAGAATTGAACTTATACTCAACTATTTGGGGATGCAACAACTTCACCACTTCACTAAGTTACTACACTCTTACAAGACTAGTTAGTAGATTATATACTTCATGTATATTATTATAAAATTGCTGATACTGTATTTCAAAATTTAAATTAGATAATCTCTGTTATATACTGTAATATAACAAAAATATTTTTTTGTAATTTTATTTTAACTTTAACTTTTTTTTTTTTTTAATCTTCAAAGGTGAGGCCAATTTTAACTCTAACTTTAATTCTACTTGAAACTATAATTTCTATTGAGGTTTAATTTTGCTATAAATATATAAAATATATAAATATACTACTATATTTAGAATTTTTATATTAAAATTTTAAACTTAATTTTTTTAAAAATTATTTACTAAATACTATATTTAAACTTTTTTTATAAATTTTTGTTTAAACTTTTTAATTAACTTTTTGTTATTAATTCTAATTAATTTTATTAAAATATCTAAAAATTTTTTATATATACTTTTAAACAACAAATTTTTATACAATAATAATATTTATATATTATTCTTTTAAAATCTATATACTTAACCAATTTAACTAAAGGTTTTTTGTATATTAAAAATACCTTATACGTATAATTATTAAATTTATACACAATAATAAAATCAAAATTTTATAAGTAAAATAAAAAAATAGGGTTATAAACAATTATAAACCAGAAACTATTATACAAATAATATTTGACTTTCAATTAATATTACTAAACTACATTAAAAATATTTAATAAATTTGTATATACGTATATGAAAATTATTTTAATTTTTTTAATTAATAATTTTTTCCTTAATGTGCTATTAGTACAAAAGGTAAAATCCTATTTGTTAATATAAAATATACGCATAACATTATTAGTGTCTGTTGGCACTTGATTAGTTATTGAAATATTATAAACTATAAAAATCATAAAATTTTATATATATATATAAAAAAAAAAAAAAAAAAACCATTCGTAACCAGTACGGTTTAACATATCTACACATTTCGACGGTGATTCCACAATAGCTCTTTATTTGCGAACAACGTGGACACAGTCTAAATATCGTAACGAAAAATTAAATAATACTTGACACATCACATTGTATATTGATACATGATTTAAGCATCTAATTGAATTACTGTACAACTGGGATGCAAATAAATTTAAATGTCCCGTTAATGAGGATCAATCGTCATCATCTATATGAAGTTATATCCTCAGTTTTGCTCTCTACAAAACGAGATATAATATATATTATAATATAATTAATAGAAGAAAACTTTCATATCTGACATTGTCCTGTTAAAAGGTGATTGAATGTTTAAGTCATTAAAAATTGCCCGCCACTTTCCAATAGGTCAACCCTCTTCAGAATCAGATATATCATTTAATTGAGTTAATCCTAAACTTTCTTCATTAAAAGCGTTCAATAACGTAGCATCTCTTGTTTTCATCAGATCATGTACATCTAATGATATTGATGATCGTAATACCCCATTACCGTTTTGCGAAGACCTAGTCCGTAGTCCATCGGTTTTTGCACCATTTAGAAGAAATACACCAGCGAAAATAGTTAGGAAACCACAAAATAGGCTGATTACATTAACCGCATTACTAGTATTGAAACCTTGAAATAGTAGGACAGAAGCAAATATTGTGGACGTCGTGAAAGAGACATAATATATAGGGTTTACACTGAAAGATAAAGGAATAAGGAATAGGTATTAATAAGAGAATCACAAGAAAAGAGAAATATAGGTAAGAAAGCTTACATATTAGTTTCAAATTGATCCAGAGCTTTGTTGAAATAATTCATTTGTACCAATATACACAAGGCAGAAATGATTATGAAAACATAAGTTGATGGATGGGTTAACTGATTGTTACCCGCGAAGGTCAATTTGAGAGCTATACCAAAACCTTTGCACGACATCACAGATATTGAACCAACTAAAGAACAAATAGATAAATATACCAAAGGGTTTTTTTTCCCGTATTTTGGTACAATACGATGTATCGCGATAATTGTATACAAAGCGACCAGCACACAGTATATTAAAAAAGCTATAAATAGAGGAAAATAGAGTAAAATGATAGAAATCAATATCACTATGAGCAATGGTAGAATTAAATGACATGAAAAGTGTAACACCTGCCAGGTTGGAGAGCAAAGGCAAGAATTTCGTCAACAGTCAAAATATCCCTATCCGCTGGTGCATGTATCACAATATTTATTGAACCAATTAAACACAAGCCACACCCCACTGTCCCTATTCGCCCAAGATTTTCCTTGAGAAATAGTGAAGCTAAAACAGCTCTAAACGTTTCCAAGCAGTTGTAATAAAGGATTAAAATAATTAAAATATAATTAAAATATAATTAAAATATAATTAAAATATAATTAAAATAAGGCCAACAATACAGTTCAGCTATGTGTAAAAGCAAAAAAAAAACATTAGTTACATACCCGATTAAAACACTCAATGCACCAAGGGGAGTTACAAGGATAGCGGGAGCAAATGAATAGGCAGCAAAATTAAGCAATTCACCAACCACCACTGGTAAATTTTGAGTAATAAAATTGAAAAAAAAATAAAAGTAACAATAAGCATACGATTCACTACAATTCACAAAGGATTTCCGAGAAAAGAAAATCATTAACATACTTGTACCCATTCCTAACCACCAGATCGGATTCTTTAGGTAACTATGATCGTCACTAGAAGGTCCTGTAACCAAGAAATAAGTGAGTTAAGTAACCAAACTAACAAATATGGAGGGTAACAGTAAAACTACCATGTCTGCGTGTTGCATCGATTAGACCCTTCTTCGTTATGATAAAAGACGTTCCGATCAACAGACTAGAAGAGACAGCCAGTGCCAACCCAATATATTTGTCGCGATCACCAACCATTATTTATAGTCTTTAGATATTTTCCACTACTATTGACTGTTGACGAAACCGAAAAATAAAAAAATTCAAGAGCAAAACTTAATTATTTAACCCTGCTTCAGGATTCTTAACCTGTTCCATGTTGTACAATTTTGATAAAACTGATACGTTTATAAAGTGAAGGTAACCGTATTTGGAAATTTTAATACTTGAGACCTATTTTTAACTTCGGCGCATCAGCACACACTTTTCCAATTTAACCTCGTAGTGTTTGTTGATTAAAGATGGTCTTCATTACCATGAAAATATTTCAAACATAGATCATCATAACAAAGAAGAATGCAATATTAGGCTGAGTGAGCTTTATTACTCCGCATCTCTCCGTTGTTCGTATTAAGCATGTCCTAACACGTTTGATTCCTGAACTTTCTAACATAGGGGGTCGCTTAAAGCCAGGTCTGTCACGAGATCTTCCGTTATGTACGACCAATCAAAATCTCCAATTTTTGTTTACACGGATCAGCCCGACGAAGCAAAAAAAGTAAAAAATGTGAAAAATACAAGAAACCAATGTCTAAACCTATCTTGGTGCATTAAGAAAAAATGTCGAGGGGACGATTTTACATATAGAAACCTTTTAATGTTAGTCCATACAGGCCCTAAACTAACCCTAACCTTAACGTTAATTTAAATTTATAATGGACCCGGCTTTAAGCGTCCCCTAACATAGGGAATTTTTTAGAATATACTTAATAAACATTTGATTATTCAAAATGAAAATTATTTGCCAAATAACGATAATACATAATCTCATCTTTAAGATACATACATACATACATACATACGTAAGATAACGAAATTGCTGCTTCTTCCTTTTAAAAAACAGAACACGTGCAAAAAGCAAGTTTATATGTAAACGATCTACTCTTCCGAAATGAAATAAAGAAAAAATCTGCATAGCGGTTGTACTATAAACTACCACACGCATTTTTGTTTTTAAAGATCAATATAATAATACACTGCAACATAATGATGATGATGATGATGATTGATTGAAGCTCACCAAAACCGAATTATTTATATGCCGATACATACTGTATAATATAATTGCCCGAAGGATATTATACGTCGACCGAAAAAAAAATGCCATATATGTATATAAAAACACATGTTATTGGCTGAAGTCACGAGATCAAATCTAAATTCAATATCGAACATCGAATAACATCGAATATCGATTGTAATCAATGTCGAACTATATAGGATAACTTTCTCGTGATTGGTCGTCACATGAAATTGAATAACACGTTATTATTGGCCAATTGTGAAAC